CCCCCCCCCCCCCTCTGGTCAGTGCCGGGAGCTGCCCCGGGGCAATTGGCAATATGATGAGGTAGTCCATAGTCCAAGCCATGGCTTCAGAGGTTCTGAGCTTTCACCCCCAGTAGCTGGATGGAGGGTTTGGGGTATAAGAGAAGTATATTCTGCTGGGTGGGGGCAGTTGGGGGAACTTGATGGTTTGGCCTGTGGGGGTGAAGTTCAGGTTCAGTTTAAATAATGGAACTACTCTGATAGAAATTCCGGCCTGTCTCTGTCATGGAAGCCTGAGCAGACCACTCCAGCCCTGGCCTCCAGGCGGGCACACCATTCCCCTCAGGGTCTCTAGGTGGGCACACCATTCCCCCCAGGGTCTCTAGGTGGGCACACCATTCCCTCCAGGGTCTCTAGGTGGGCACACCATTCCCTCCAGGGTCTCTAGGTGGGCACACCATTCCCTCCAGGGTCTCTAGGTGGGCACACCATTCCCTCCAGGGTCTCTGGGTGGGCACACCATTCCCTCCAGGGTCTCTTGGTGGGCAGACACATCCCTTCCATGGCCTCTGTGTGGTGTGTGTCTAGATCTGCTCTCGGATACAACTCCCCGGTGACCTTTGCCCTTCTGCAGACTCCATACAAGAGGAATCCACCACTCTGTATAATAATGTTCCATCTATGGCCCCTCCCTTCCAGCGCCTCCCCGGACTCCTTATTATCAGTATGAGGCCGGAGGATCGATCGGCCCTTCCAATAAATCTACAATTAGTTCACTTAATGTGTTTTCAATCACTGTCATTAAAAGCCGATTACCCCCGTATAATAATCCTGGGTGAGATGACAACTCGGCCCGGCCAGTCTGCCCGCCCTTCCGTCCCTCCGCCCCTCCGCGCTTCCGTCCCTCCGCCCTTCCATCCCATGTACAGAGATGTACAGCACCGGGGTTGTCCTCACATGGCTGCTCAGAAGGAAGGTCTTCCTCCCCTCAAGTCATTGTATACAATATATACACTGATCAGCCATAACATTAGGAGCACCCCCCTAATATTGAGGAGGTCCCCCTTATCCTGACCCATCAGGGCATGGACCCCACTAGACCTCTGAAGGTGTGCTGTGTAATGTCTTAAAACACAGGAGGACAATTGGGAGACGGGGCAGAGCATTGTCACCCTTTAACAGGAAGTGCCCGATCAAGGACAGAGTGTTGTCACCCTATAACAGGAAGTGGCTGAACAAGGACAGAGCGATGTCACCCTATAACAGGAAGTGGCTGAACAAGGACAGAGCGATGTCACCCTATAACAGGAAGTGGCTGAACAAGGACAGAGCGATGTCACCCTATAACAGGAAGTGGCTGAACAAGGACAGAGCGATGTCACCCTATAACAGGAAGTGGCTGAACAAGGACAGAGCGATGTCACCCTATAACAGGAAGTGCCTGGACAAGGACAGAGCATTGTCACCCTGTAACAGGAAGTGTCTGAACAAGGACAGAGCATTGTCACCCTGTAACAGGAAGTGTCTGAACAAGGACAGAGCGTTGTCACCCTATAACAGGAAGTGCCTGAACAAGGACAGAGCGATGTCACCCTATAACAGGAAGTGCCTGAACTAGGACAGAGCGATTTCACCCTATAACAGGAAGTGTCTGAACAAGGACAGAGCATTGTCACCCTATAACAGGAAGTGTCTGAACAAGGACAGAGCGTTGTCACCCTATAACAGGAAGTGCCTGAACAAGGACAGAGCGATGTCACCCTATAACAGGAAGTGCCTGAACAAGGACAGAGCATTGTCACCCTATAACAGGAAGTGTCTGAACAAGGACAGAGCGTTGTCACCCTATAACAGGAAGTGTCTGAACAAGGACAGAGCGTTGTCACCCTATAACAGGAAGTGTCTGAACAAGGACAGAGCGTTGTCACCCTATAGAAAATGACTCGCTAAACTATTGCAGACTTGCCGAGCTTTACAATTTTGTTGCACAATTACAGCAAGTCTGCGGATCGAAGTGCTGTACACTGGCAGGACTCGCCGAGCACATTTGCTACAAATTGATAAATTGTCACCTAGACCTTGTGCTGCGAGTCTACAACGTGCCGGGAATGTGCAGCAAGTCAGAAAGAGTTACAATGTAACCCGGACACAAGTTTGTAGCACGTTCTCCTCGCTGTCGGGGGGATTTCCATGCTGTGTATCGGCATTTTCGATGCATTGTATATCACACAGCGGGACTCCTGGAATCTCATCTACATACAATGTTGTCACCCGACAATACACACTGATAGTTGCAGCCTTGACCAAAGAACCTTCAAAGTCATGAAATCAGCATTGTGTTATCTGAGCTCCTCCATTCCCAAATATTCCGCACCCTCCGCTCCTCACACAGCTCGTAGTATGGCCGAGACTCTCTCCTATTATACAACATTCCCCATATCACCGGGCACCACATCCCTCGTCACACACTCTATGTAACTGGATGGCACTGTGTCACCACAACAGTGCCAGCCAGGAACAAGCTTTGTGACTCATCAGCGTCGGCACTGGAGGGTCATTGAATCCTGAGACAGGAATCCGAAATATTCTGATTAGATGCGTCCGCTGTCACCTGTCCAAGTTAATGACTGACTGATGGCGGCCGCATCTGTAAGCGATTCTCTGCATGTGATTGTGTGTGATCTGATGTGGTTTGCAATAGATCGCTGGCCCTGGAGGCACCGTAGATGTACGATGGGTGGTAGGGGGGTGGTAGAGGGATGGTAGAGGGACGGTAGATGGATGGTAGATGTACGGTAGAGGGATGGTAGATGGATTGTAGATGGACGGTAGATGGATGGTAGATGGGTGGTAGAGGGATGGTAGAGGGATGGTAGATGGATGGTAGATGGGTGGTAGATGGGTGGTAGATGGGTGGTAGATGGACGGTAGATGGACAGTAGATGGATGGTAGATGGGTGGTAGATGGGTGGTAGATGGACGGTAGATGGACGGTAGATGGATGGCCGAGGGATGGTAGATGGATGGTAGATGGATGGTAGATGGATGGTAGATGGATGGTAGATGAATGGTAGATGGGTGGTAGATGGACGGTAGATGGATGGCCGAGTGATGGTAGATGGATGGTAGATGGGTGGTAGATGGAAAGTAGATGGATGGGAGATGGATGGTAGATGGACGGTAGATGGATGGCCGAGGGAT